TTTTTTTTTTTTTCTTCAAATAAAAAATCATAAATTAATACACAAGAAATGTAACCATCCAATTACAACAGCAAGAACAGATCTAATATCAATTCGTAAAATATATAGAAGTAGACATTCAATAACGAAGAGAAGTACATAATGAAATTTCGTGAAACAACGTATAACCATTCGCTAATAAAATGATAGTTGATATCAACCGAAGATTAATTCGACTCTTTGGACGAGGCCTTCTAAATTATTTGAATTAAGCGTGACATTAGGTCATTTGGTTAATATTCGTTCTGGCACACACGTCTTCGACTCCCGTGAGTTGCTACTTATTTGCCATCGTGTAACATGTATGTATGCATACTCTCGAAGCATCCAAAAACAGCAAAAATAATCGATGCACAGTAATACTATATTCATGAATGACACATAATATAATAATACGATTTTACAGTCATTTACTTCTTTCACTGTTTACTTTGTTCACTGGTAAATGATATATTGACAGCGCCTGGTGTTTGTGGTGTTGTATGACATAGTTATTACACTATCAGTGATAATAATAATAATAATAATAATAATAATGACAATAATGATAATAATAGTAATTGTAATATGTAACAATAATAATGTAATAATTATAATAACTACCATGAAATAATACAGATAGAAATATATACAGCATGCATAATACGTTGTCGTTGTAAAGTTATATGATTATAATATTAAAAGTAAAGATAGACGCAGCCCTTTGTGTTTGATTCGAATGATTCCATGCTGTGCAAGATTATTCGGAGGCAAACACGGACCTACGCTTTATCTGAACACCTTGTTTCTTTGGGACGTACTAAGACCGAAGGCTGAATCAGACGGCATTCTCACAAACATTATTGGAACGGTTCACTTACTCACTACTACAACATAATAAATACCATTCTTTTACTATTCGTTTACCTTTTATTCGTCATTTTGTTCATGTAAATCCAGATTTCTATTGAACAAAACCAGAAATTTTACTTGGTTTCTATTGCGATTTTAATATTACTTAAAGAAAGACAACATGTTAAACAGTAACTGATCTTTCTTACAACGCAATAACAATATATTGGAAAAAGATACTAATGTATGGTAGTCTCCTTTTTTTTAATAATTGTTATATATATCGTATGCCTTGTGTATTTCTATTTATCAATGTTTATATAGCCAGAATGTTTCCTTTTATGTCGCTTGGCTCAATGCCTTCTGGTAAATATGCATTGGCAAAGCATCATGCATAAGACATCGTTTATAGTGCAGATCAAATAAACAAAAACACTCCACTGCATTTTGCAAATGTACAGATGTATATCTTATATATATTAAAGTGTACTTCATATAATGATGTTGAGGATCTTTTATCTATTCAAATGTTGATAATCATTTATATTACTATTCCCCACACTTTGAACTCCCACGGAATACGTGTACATAACATTTTTTTTATTGTCAATCCAATAATCTGCCATTATATTTTGCTTTTATACATGCTAATTTAACATTAGCGATAGTGTACAACCAACTACGAGTATACAAGTAAGTGTCATTATCTTAGAATTCGATATTGCAAGGCAATGATTAATCTTTCTTCCATCTCTTTTACTTTTTTTTTTTTTTTTTACAAAATCGATTTCTCTGTGATAAACCAGAGTATCGAAAAGAGCGCGCGATTTAACGTAATTCTTTTTTCTATATATATATATATATATATATTCTGATAGTATTCAATGTGTCGATAGCTTTTGGTTGTAACTATGTAGCTGAATAATCAAATGTATCTTGTGTCAAATGAAAACCAAGAAGATCATGTTCAAAATTGATTTCATATGCGGTGAAATGTTTCTTGACATTGCATAATTAATATGCTTCTAATAAAATTGTTAGATACGCGTATGCTTGATTCAATTTCTGTCTGTTTTCTTTTTTCTAAATATCTTTTCCGTGTCACAGCGATCATGATATGCTAAATAGTATTAAAAATAAGCATTACAGTTTTACGTGATTATCTTTCATAGCCTTCATTAGCACAGATCTCATAGTTATTAATAATAAATTAACGTATCATATATCCTTCAGTTCTGATTTCGTTATTAAGGTTCGTAAAGTCGTTGTGCCCGAAAATATATGTATATATGTATATATATATATGTGTGTTTCAATTCAATCAAATAAATCAAACAAAAGGTGCTTTTTTTACCGACGTAAAATTTATAATTTTCCAGATTTTTCTTGCTTACTTAGTTCAAGGGCTAAAGCTAATTCCGCCTCTTCTTGCTGTTTACGTCTACGCCTTTCCTCCTCGGTTTTTAAACTTTGTTGAGATGCCCAAACAAATTGCTCTTCCTCGCTTAACGAGAGAGGTGTGTTATTGCCGTTCCAAATTCTGCCCATTTCATTTTTCGATTTTTTATCGTTAAAACTAGTTTTAGATCTATTGTGTGCTAAATCTTGTCCGTGTCTCCTGGCAGATTTTTCAGTTTTAGTGGAAAATGCTTCATCTATATCGGTCGTTTTTACCTTGATGTTCGAAAACGCATCGGAGTCGATAGTTTTTATATTTCTGTTGTCGTCGGAAAATGCTTTTACAAAATCGGCATCGAATTTAGCATTGTCCTTCTCAACTTTGTTTTTAGTCAGAGAAAATGTATTTGAGAAATCAGTGTCGAAGCTTTTCGTGAATGAATTTTTACGTGAAAGTACCGAGCTTGTTCCGTAACTAAATGGATCCATATTGCCAGCCGTTGTTCCACTCTTATTCGCATTATGATCTTCTGCATCATCGGCGAAAGGATCCGGTATGTTAAAGGGATCTTCATAACGATAGTCTCTGAAGGGATCTTCCGTAAAGTCCGGCAGCTTTGGAGTTACCGTTGATACTGTATGCGTTCTGCTGGTTGGTCTGGGTGGTGCCGTTCGATTCAGTGTTGGTTCCGGCTGAAGCAGGTTTTTTTCAGTGGTCAATTTTCGTTTACTGAAAAGGTAGAAAGAATAGCGCAAAAACCGCTGGTTATCGTCAGGCTGCTGGACCATACATGGCTGCTGTTGATACTAGAATACATTGAATTGCAAGCGAATAAAAATATTCGAGTTAATTCATTTCAATTTCGTTATCAGTGAAAGTTTATCAACTTGTAATCAATTTCCAACGAAAGAAAAAAAAAACAACAAATGATAAATAGAAATAAAATGATAGATGCTTTTTAAATAATTCGCAAATAAATAAACAAGCTTTGAAAAATCCTACGATATTCAATCAGTCGAATTAACTCGAATATTTTATTTAAATATGAATAATTAAAAAATTGCCATGCAATAGTATAAAATGAAAATATAATACTGGAATAAAGAGAACAAATGAATTAATTTGTAGACAGCATGCTCCAGGAGTCAGATCAATGAATAAACTGAAAATTGTGCAGCTTCTACCTAAATATAAAACAAAAAATATAATTAATCTTTTCTTGATATAAATGTATTTTACGAAATTATAATATATTGAAATGACATATTATGTGATATTAATTATCTTGCATTTTAGAAATCCGAAAATTATATAGAAAAATTATATTGAAGATTATATCACTACGTAAATAATATTTTACTTATATAAATCATATCAATATATTTCACTTTTTGTTAAAAATAGCTGTATTTAAAACATAAAATAACAACATATAACATACTAAACATTGATAAAACTGAGGAAGGAGAGGATATGCCCAGGACGATATATAGGAACACTTAAACAAAATAAAAAGGAAAATTGGTTATTACAATTCAAAGTGCTAAAAGAATGATTTTTCTACTAATAAAACTAGTAATAAAGTAAGAGCATAATTTTCAACGATATTGTACGATACTTCAAAACATGAAAATACATACCTTGGAATCAAAATTACTAAAATCTGCAAATCCAGTAGACGTATTAAAATTATTGCTATTATTGTTGTCCATAATTCCCTGTTGAGCAGAGAAAGCATTTGCAAATGGATCAGGTGTAGGAGAAGGTGTAGGCGGTGCTGGTGCTGCTCGTAGGGGACCAGTAGGTCCTTGAGCCGGTCGTGGAGGTGCTGGTCGTGGTGGTGGTTGTTTCGCTTTTTTAGGAGGAAGAGCAGGACTAGGACTTTCTGGACGAGGAGGTGCATGAAGATTTGCAAATGGATCATCTCCAAATGGATCTTTTGTCGCCTAAAATAAGAAAATCAAGAAAAAAAGGAATTAATAAATAAATCAAATAATAGTTATTTTATTCTATGAAATTTATTGTTTCTATGATGACTTACTGCTGTTGCAGCAGTGATTTTAGTATCAGTCCTTTTTCCATCTCCAAATGGATCAAATGGATCTTGTTTTATAGCATTGCTATCATCAAATGCACTAAATGGATCAGATGTGAATCCTCCTCCTCCTCCTCC